TGTATGTATAGAAACACAGATTTTTTAAATCAGCTCACATCTATATATTATAATTTGTCGTTGCAATTATTACTTGGGTAAATGTTTGTGTAATCACGAGCAGTTGAGTCTAAATAACACACAAAACGTAGAAATGGGTTAAAATAAGTACATCGGCCTATAATGCAGATGAAGTAGCGTACATCGGTTCCTCGAACTTGGACATATAAAGGGACAGTGTGGTCAGCACAATGTTCAGTCGCCTTTACTTTACGGTTAGCCTCAGGGCTGGGTGGGTTCGGGGGGGGGGGTGGTGGAACGGGACAGAGCACTTGATATTTTCGGGGGTGGGGTGGGGGGTGGCTACAATTTTCGGGAGGTAAAAGCATTTGATTTCTATATAAATTCGGGCGGTGGGGGCGGTAGACTTTCTTCCGGGGGATGGGGGGAGGCCCCCTTGAAGAGATGCCTGGAAGAGACTCTGGCCATTGGTTAGCATTAGTGAAGTCAATGCGCAAGCGCCAATTTTACTGCTTTCTGTATTTAACCCGCTCAATAGATCGTAATTTGTACTTAAAAAATGACATTTACACAACATGCTATTTTTTAAAATCCATAATGACACATGTGATTTAAATATAACCCAACCACACGCTGTGCTGTAAGCATCAAACTTCTAACACAACTAAAGATCGGGTGTCCTGGGAGATGAGAAGGGAAGGGGTAGGGGTAGGATATGACGTCAATGTACAGCTCAGTCAAACGATCAGACAAACATCACATAATGAATCATACAATTTTTGTATAAACACCTACAGAAATGTATGAAAGCACACCAAGGCTTATATTACCTGTTGTATGTGCACGCGTGTTCAACATGTATGAAAGTGGGCGTGTCCCTGTATGTGAGACGCCCATACACATACACGCAGCTACACATTGACTAGTGCTTTCACTTTAGCAGCAACCACGTGGGGTATTGTTATAGCTCTTGATGTTATAAAACAAGCTAGCAGTTGGCTGTAGCTTTTTTTTTTACTGCTAATTTAGTAAGTATAGTTATACCATAGGCGGAACCACAAAATAATACTTGGGGGAAGACTGTTGAAGCAATTGTTTCTTTCGGGCATTTCTTTCCGGGATGGGGGGGAGGTGGCAATGGGAAATTTAATTTATATAGAAAATATATACTTTTATCAGTGTCTGGTTCCTCGGAAAACTTTGCCCCCCCCCCTCCAACCCATTTTTTTTCAAGTGCCCCCCCCCCCCCCCGGAGAAAAAAAAGTGTAAAAGAAACACTGGTTGAAACTGATATAATATATATACTTATGCAAACAAATAATTACATTTAATGCCCTTCGATCCCTGCTTTGCTACGCCATTGTTTTACTACCCAAAATTTAACCCAGCCCAGTTTAAAACAAATAAAAGCAACACAATATTTAAATCTAAATCTAAGAGACAAATATCTGTACACGACAAACTGGTAGCGCACATAGTTGATACAGATGGCGCTGCAATCAATCCGTGTCACCACGACCTAACTGAACTTAACGATCACATACATTGACTTGAATCTTTTTATGTCGCATACAAAATTCTTTTTACCTTTGTCAGCCAATTCACATGGGACCACCTCAAATTATAGCTTGTGTAGGTGTTGACAGTTAAATTTGATATAATGCCAGGTTTTTTTTTTTATTAGCGAGGGATTAGTTAAATGTTCAGTTCAAGATAACAAAAGATAATGCTGCCTGTTAGGACAGTAAACCTTGCTACAATCGCGCTCAAGAATTTCTATGTAACATTTTTATGAAATATTTCTTTTTTTTCTTTTTCAAAAGTATGCAAACAATAAGGCCTAGAAAATCTATGGGAAAGTTCGATTCAACATTCTTTCTCTTACATCCCACATCGAGTAATGTAAACAGTTTTAGTTTTATGTTTTTTTTTTTAGATGAGGTGTGTTTGTGTCGTCACTCCGGACTTGTGGATAGATTGTTCAACAAGAAGGGTGGGGGGGGGGGGGGGGGTGTGCTGCGCCTATGTCTTACAGTTTTTCAACTGAGTTAATAGGATGATGCCCAAATTGAGCGTGCTTATCATGAAACTGAGAGAGAGAAACTCTAGGCATTATCCATCCATCCTCCCCCCTCCCAGCACGAATAATTGATTTTATTTCACTGCAATATTTTCACACACAGATGCTAATGTTAGCTTGATCGATGCGTCATCGAGCGTCTCGAATATTCCCAGCTCCATCGAATATTTATTTCGTTAAGTTAAAAATAATGAACTTTGATTTTGTTGAATAAAAACAAAAGTGACCAAAATATTACATTAGTACAAGGCATAAAAAAATATGTTTTAGCGGTACAATCGTATGCTGTAAAAACATTGAAAGCTATACATGGAAATGGGGGGGGGGGGGTTAGCTTTTATAACAGCTGCAACATATAATACGATATGACGATTATCAGGTAAATTATCGATTGATTGATAGTGGATTTATGTGTACCTGCGTCGAATAATATCGATAACGCTAGAAGAATCGATGAAAACTTGTTTGCTTTTTCTACAGTTAATTCTTTTTTTTCTCAAGTTTCGTCTAAACCACCACAGTTGTTAACAAGGACCATACCAGTCACAGATGGAGCTGGGGTGAATGTTACCGTGTGGGGTACATCTGTTACCTCGTGGGCAGAGGCGTAGCGACGGGGGGGGGGAGGTACATCTGTCCCCGGGCGCCGACCATAGGGGCGCCAAAATAAGCTCATTTTAGCTGCTATTTTAAATTATAAATATGAAAAATATAGGGGGGGGGGGGCGCCAAATTGAAACTTTGTCCCAGGGGGGGGGGGGGGGGGGCGGGAGGGGTCGCTACGCCTCTGCTCGTGGGGTAAATCTGTTGCCTTGTGTGATAAGGCACGCCCAAGACAGATGTAACTAGGATGTAGATACTCAAGTTACTCTTAAGTGAGGGGGGGGGGGGGGCGGATAGGATACGAATGATCAACGATAAGATAACGTATATAAGGAAGTGAAACTTAAAAAATAAATCTGGGTGAATCGGTGTTTCCGGTAGGGCGGTGTCAAGGTTATTATTTTGTTGGTATCGATATTCTAACCCCAAACTCGATCCTAACCCTAATTAGTAATTGCGAATACTAGCACTGACCTTATCAACTATACTAACAGTAACCCCCGCTCCCCCCCCCACCACCATCCATCAATGAAACAATAGAGAATGCATGAATATCAAGAATTTAAACTGATTTTTCTGTCAAGATCAAGTTTTGCACTTTAACAAAAATAAAAAATACAAAGGGGGTTTAAAAAAAGAATAAAAGTGACCTAGTCTAAGACGGCCCCTGAGGACCAAGAATACTGCCAGTTTGTGATAATCATTTGATTGTGTCCCCTGTGTGTGTGGTCGGCTCAGGTTGTTGCTGTTGACTCGGGGGACGGTCCGTCAATATTTGCCGCAGGCCGGCACGCCTGGGGCTGGAGCACGCCGGCTCCCCACGGACCGGCAGGTAAACACGCGGACATACCTGGCGTAAAACAGCACCTTTGTCCGCCTGCAGCCATCGTCGGCATGTTAACTTGTAGGGTCAAGTAGCATGCATGCGGAAAAACTGACCGGCCCGCATGCTGAAAACTGACCGGCCCGCATGCCGGAAAACTGACCGGCCAGCATAACGGAAAAATGACCAGTGCGGGCGATTTGCTTTCACAACAACTGTCCGGCCGAGGCGATTTGCCTCCACGGACTATTGGCCCGTTAGGAAGATGTTCCACAAAGGACTACTGATTTGTCCGGATAATTTTTTACAATGGACAATTGAGCAGTTCGGACATTTTGCCACCACTGACTGGCTCAACATCACCGTGCAATTATGACCACAAACATAAGCTGTGACCAACTGACCCACAAACATCAACTGTGACCCACTGACCCACAAACATCAACTGTGACCAACTGACCTATAAACATCAACTGTTTCCAACTGACCTACAAACATCAACTGTGACCAACTGACCTACAAACATCAACTGTGACCAACTGACCTATAAACATCAACTGTTTCCAACTGACCTACAAACATCAACTGTGATCAACTGACCTACAAACATCAACTGTGACCAACTGACCCACAAACATCAACTGTTTCCAACTGACCTACAAACATCAACTGTGATCAACTGACCTACAAACATCAACTGTGACCAACTGACCCACAAATATCAACTGTGACCAACTGACCCAAAAACGTCAACTGTGGCCAACTGACACACATAGATCAACTGTGACCAACTGACCCACAAATATCAACTGTGACCAACTGACCTACAAACATCAACTGTGATTAACTGACCTACAAACATCAACTGTGACCAACTGACCTACAAACACCAGCTATAACGAAATGACCTCACATATGGAGCGTGGTTAGTGAAGCCTAACACACAGGGTAGGAATTAATATTTACAACATGAGCTAGGAATGTGGGGAGGGGGATGTGTGGGGGTTGTGGAAAAAATGGGGTGGATATGTTAAAATAAGGGGTGGGTTAGTGGTAAAAAATGAGGTTGAAAATGGTAAAAGGGGAGGTGGGAAATTGTAAAAATGGGATAGGAGATAGTAAAAGATGAGTTTGAAGTGTTACAATTTATGGTGGGTTGTGGTACAATGTGGAGTAGGAAGCAGTACTTACAATGTGGGGTGGAAAGTGGTACTTACAATGTGGGGTGGGAAGTGGTACCTACAATGTGGGGTGGGAAGTGGTACTTACAATGTGGGGTGGGAAGTGGTACTTACAATGTGGGGTGGGAAGTGGTACTTACAATGTGGGGTGACTTACAATGTGGGGTGGGAAGTGGTACTTACAATGTGGGGTGGGAGGTGGTACTTACAATGTGGGGTGGGAAGTGGTGCTTACAATGTGGGGTGGGAAGTGGTGCTTACAATGTGGGGTGGGAAGTGGTACTTACAATGTGGGGTGGGAAGTGGTACTTACAATGTGGGGTGGGAAGTGGTGCTTGTCCAGCTTCCTCTGGTACTTCTTCTGCAGGAGCTGGGCGTTGAGGGCGCCACGGATGTGGACGGCGTTCTCGTCGATGGAGATCTTGTGTCCGGCAAAATGATCCGTGATTGGCCCGTGGGGGTTGTTGCGGCCCTGGGCCAGGGCGGACTTGATGCCCAGAGCCTCATTGTCTATAGCGTACCCAGGCTGTTCCCCCTGGAAGCGAAGCTCCGACATTTTGCTGGTCGCTCTCCTGAAACCAGTCGGTATAGCAAGTTACATTACGGAAACCTTTCAACATTAATCGAGACTATTTTTGTTCTTTACAAAAATAGTTGCTAAGTCAGTGAAAACACGTTCTTACAATAATCTCTTTTGTTTAAAGTATATATGTTTTTTGTTTCTCTTTTATAAAACTGGATATAATGAAAACAGTTTGACCCATGAAAAATGAACAAAATAACCCCCGATTTACTATGCTGATATAACACAAAAAAATCGAATTTGTGTGTGTAGTTTTGTTTTGCATGTATGTTTAATGAAAAAAAAAGTAAATCAATGAAATAAAGCTACAAGAATTCCACCCCAAATCCCATTTGAGTAAAATCCCAAAGACTATATCTACAATATCTCTACAAGATAAAATAAAAACACCAAAATCATCCAATAGGATCACAGTTGTAAGGTTAGGCCACACCCACCGGAAGTTGTCCTGGGCCGCCATGGCTCTCTGTATCCCCATGGCCTTGTCGTCGAGCCTGGAGCCGCCTATCCTTGGCGCGTGCCTCTGGCAGTAGATCTCCTTGTCCTCACTCTGGCTCTGGTTGGTCCAGTAGTTCTTGAGTGTGACGTAACCACCGCACACACAACACCTGTATCGCAAAGGTTCAAAGGTGAGTGCAGGTATTCATACCGGTCCCAAACAACGAATACTCTCAGTTATAAGAGGTATTCTTACAGGTCCCAAACAACGAACGTTCTTAGTTATAAAAGGTATTCATACAGGTCTCAAACAACGAACACTCTCAGTTATAAGAGGTATTCATACAGGTCTCAAACAATGAACACTCAGTTATAAGAGGTATCCATACAGGTCCCAAACAACGAACGTTCTTAGTTATAAAAGGTATTCATACAGGTCTCAAACAACGAACACTCTCAGTTATAAGAGGTATTCATACAGGTCTCAAACAATGAACACTCAGTTATAAGAGGTATCCATACAGGCCCCAAACAACGAACGTTCTCAGTTATAAAAGGTATTCATACAGGTCTCAAACAACGGACACTCTCAGTTATAAGAGGCATCAATACAGGTCTCAAACAACGAACACTCTCAGTTATAAGAGGCATCAATACAGGTCTCAAACAACTGACACTCTCAGTTATAAGAGGTATTCATACAGGTCTCAAACAACGAACACTCTCAGTTATAAGAGGTATTCATACAGGTCTCAAACAACAGACACTCTCAGTTATAAAAGGTATTCATACAGGTCCCAAACAACGAACACTCTCAGTTATAAGAGGTATTCATACAGGTCTCAAACAACGAGCACTGAGTTATAAAAGGTATTCATACAGGTCCCAAACAACGGAAAATCTCAGTTAGAAGGATTCAGATCTAAGCAGTGTTTCTTCCAGACTTTTTTTCACCGGGGGTGGGGGGACTTGAAATTTTCGGTGAGGCGGACTAAAATTTCTTGTGGGGGGGGGGGGGGGGAGCGGAGACCGTAAAAAGTATATATTTTCTAATTTCATTTCGTTCGGGGGGGGGGGGGGGGATCGGCAGACCCCCCCCCCCCCCCCGCCCACCATAATCGATGGCCTGGAAGAAATTCTGGATCTAAGTATCGACAGGATAGTCGATAGTGGTGGTGGTGGTGGTGGTGGTGGTGGTGGTGGTGGTACGCCGTTAGTGACGATGTGTGACATGGAGGAGTGGAAGGGGGACGTTAAGAAAATATAAGATATTTTAAATAAATAAATTGATCAGTATGCTCAATGTTTACCGAACTCAGGAACATTTTAGAAAGAAATTTTTTGCCTTGTAGTTTGTTCTTGGTTGGACAAAGGCTATAGAAGCAATTCCAAAAATAAAACAGGCTGAAATCGAAACCACGTATACTTAATTATGTTGGAGGGGAATCCCTTCCAACATATTAAGAACGAAAAAGAAGAAGAAAGAAAGAAATTTCAGTGTGATTTAATTTCAGAGGGGAGTACTGGATTTTTGAGACGATGTGTAAAAATCGTCAAAAATCGTGACGTTATGTATGAATGACCACCAATAAGAGTAACCTTTCTAGTATCTAGATTCTAGCCCGTTGCTATTTATATACTAAAGAATCCTGAGTTCGGACCAGATGCAGGTGAGGCTCGTTAACTGGGGACCAAAATAAAACAACTGCTGCTTTACATATTTTCCCTGTGAGGCAGCTAACGAAGAAGAAAAATATCCTACAGATGCTTTATGAGCTAAATAAACGCGATCCCTTCAGATGCGATAGTGCCTAAGACTGATGCGATACTGATTTAGTTTACAAACACTACAAAAATAAGGAACCAATGGTAAAAACCTTTCAGCACCCAGGAGACATTCTTTGGATATTATTTAATCGCAGACGACACTGTGGCGACACAATTTAAAAAGTTAGACATATCTCTTGACATGTTTAGTTAAAAAATACTTTACGACCGTGTATATCTGATATTTACAACCCTTTACCAGCTTAAAATAGCCTCATAAAGTGGGTTTGTGGTTTGACTGCCTCAGTAGGGAAAGACAGGGGCGTACAAATGAAGAAGGGTGGTCTTTGTTAACTCTAACAATAGAATTTGAATAGAGGGAGGGGCGAGAAAGATTTGGATTAGTGATAGAAGTTATCAGATTAACATGGGCATTATTACACCGGGCTATAATGGTAAAGTACTTGCTTACATTCAACATTGGACTATGAAGGTACAATTAATACTTGCTTACATTCAACATTGGACTATAAAGATACAATACTTGCTTTCATTCAACACTGGACTATGCAGGTACAATACAATACTTGCTTACATTCAACATTGGACTATGGAAGTACAATACAATACTTGCTTACGTTCATCATTGGACTATGAAGGTAGATTCAAATAAACTGCACAGGAAAAAATACAGGAAAAAAACCCCGAATGTGAAGCTTCCCCCAAATGTCCTACTTTTACTTGACATACTTATGTTAGCCACGCCACCAGTTATACATGTGCTACTAATTTTTCTTATTCCTAAAATAACAAACTGATATTCCACCGGAACTGATAGAGATAAGCCATGGTGCAATTTGTCATATTTAATAAGTTTAACAAAAAAGATAAAGATTCTTTTATTAAGTCACCTAACTTAGTTAACAATTTGTCTAGTACAATTTTTCAAGATTCCTTACACTATGCACCCGTTAACATATCGAACCTAGCTGATTTGAGCGACCCTATTTGAAACGTGAGTGAACGATTTTAAAGAAAAGGAAACAGCTGTTCAAGAGCGAAAACAAAAATCAATACGGATAAAAATAGCAACGGGTTTTCCTACGTTCAACATTTTTTTGACAGTGTATTTTTGCGGAATGTGTAGTTACTTCAGGCTAGGGCAGTCCCTGTTTAGATTAGACTAAAAAGGTTCACGTTATTTTTAGAGGTCTCTGATTGATGTTAGCTTTTAAGGGGATCTTATTTTAAAAAAGTAGTTCGCTAAATTTCTGTTAATTTTATTATTTTTGTAACATTTTTCTTCAAAGAATTCAAATTATATTTGGATAATGTTTATTGTTTAAATTTGCCTTTAAACGAAGACATACGATCGAAACACTTAATAAATATAAAAAAAACAATAGTAAACATAGTGTTGTTTTAAAAAAAAAATCGAAGCTAGATTCAAACCGATGACTGGGTGGTGTTCGAGGGGTCTATTGTGATAAGATGTAAGGGGGGGGGGGTGAAGTGTGACGAAACACTTTTGCATTATAATGAGTTAAGTTAGAATTAATTTTTATAGTAGTTATTTTGGATTAAAAAAAACAACCTGTAAATTGTAAGAGAAATGTGTTACTAAGCTCAAGGTTAACAGAGCTCAGAAAAAGAAAAAAAAAAGACGATATTTAAAATAAAAGTCTGCCAGTTTTGGGCGAAGTCGCTATGGGATTCTGGCTTTTTGTGTCTGTGTGTGATGATGGTGATGGGGTAAAAAAAAGCCGCGTGTTGTTTATGAATAACATTCATAGATCAAGATATTTCAGCACTGATGAACATTTTCCAAAACCAGAAATAAACCTAAGGGGTCAATCGTAAATGACGTCACGCTTTTTTGGACGATTTTTCCCTCCCACCTCCCCTCCGTCACACGTCGTCACAAAAAGCAAGACCCCCCCTCTAAAATGACGTCAAACCTCAGCCTACCACTCCTCTCAAATTTGAACTATTTTTTTTTTAAACATCGATATTTTTCTAAAATCTTGTCTGAATTCTGTCAAAATAGAGTATTTTAATCAATTCCTATTACAATTTATTAAAACAGTTTTCTAAAACGCGAAATAACGTCTAAAATTCGTGTTCTAACATTGCTTTTTTATAATGCAAAAGTGTGACGTCGCACCACCTGAACCCCTCCCCCTCACCACACACCGTCATAAAATTACAGACCCCCCCCCTATGAGTGTGACGTTATTTATGGACGACCCCTAAACGCAAATCCGGAGTCTTTGTATATAATATAGATAAATAACTAACGGATCTAAAAATACCCCAGTCACGTGACTCACTTGAAGCATGTGAAAAACCTTCATTATTATCTAGATAATTCAGCTTTGATAAACGTTTCCAAAACCAGAAAAACCTAAAAACAAACCTTTTGTAAAAAAATAAATAAATAAATAGCTGACGGATCTAAAAATAGCCCAGTCACGTGACTCACTTGAAGCACTGCTTGTGGAAGACGACGTCATTGACGGGGCCGATCCTCTCCTGCTGATACACCTTCTGGCTGCAGCGCTGGCACCTCTGCAGGTTCAGGCTGGGCGGCATGAACAGCGTCGACAGCCGTCTGCCGCCGCGCTCTGCAGAGTCCTCGACCTCCAGTTCCGCCATCTTGGCATCAAACTCTCAGCAGACGTCTCTAGGGTGTCGTCTGGCGCTGAGGGTAAATAAAAATAACAGTTGACGCAATGAAAGGAAGTGTATTTTACGACAAGACAAGACAAGCCAGATGGAGTATAGTTTCGATTGCAACGGAAATGGTTGTGCCCAATCCTGTACCCTCTCTAAATTTACTTTCAAGAATACATCAATTAAACACCGACAATATCAATTTAACACCTACGACATCAATTAAACACCGCCTGGAGGATTTGGATACTTCTATATTATCAAACAGAGCGTGTGGAAACAATGTTATTTTAGGTAACCAATAGCTCTAACCTTTGCCATGAACAAAACCCAAACCATGTTCCTAACTAGAAAAGAGAGAGAGAAAACCAAACCATGCTTTAGTTCGCTTCAGCGACATTGAAATATCCAAAGCCCCACAGACATGAGAAAAAGTCAAGTATTTGACGAAAATTTAGATTTAAAAAAAATCACGTGTCTTTCTATCTAGCATTGCGTCTCATGCGCCAATTAGCACAGTAATTATCACATAACCAGGACGGCCTTTGATATACACATTGAATGTATCTTTAAAAAAAAAACAACCGAATAACTAAAGGTGATGTATAAACATCAAGTTATTTTCAAGCACTTCAGAACAGAGATGGATTATCAAGGTATTCAGCGGTCAATAGCCGCGTTAGCTATTGTAACGTTAACCTATCTATCAGCTAAATAGAAGGAGAACGTCCCCGGATTCTTTTTTCGGGGTCATATGCAAATGCCTTACGGCCTAAGTGGATGAACACTTAACACAACGACCCACTAGGGCTCGAATTTAATGTCTAGGGGAGCTAGTGATACTATTGTAATTAACACTCATCCAATCTACATACGACCTTTTAATCAGCGAACTCAGTTGTGGCAAAACACAAAGATGAACTAGATAAAATATTTAATGTATAAAATATAAAAAACCCAACTTACAAAATGTAGGACAAATCACTATCACAGATTTCTACACTGTCAAAAGAACAGCTACAGGCCACACAACACTGCTGTAGCTTCTAGACTTACTTAGCGACAAGTAATATTAAACTAGAAGACTAAATCAACTGAAGAAAGCAAGGCACACACAGGTCTTAAGTACTCTCACGTTCAAATGGTCAGAGTCTATAGCCGGACAATATGGACGGCTGCCTGACTAAGGTAAAACGGCCTCGTAGACTGCCAGGTCAAGATAAAACTGCCTCGTGTTGCGAGTGTGCGGGGCAATTATAGACTTCTGTGACAGGGGAGGTTATCCTCAACTCATGTCGCCATTGGTTGGGATAATCATCTGATCAGAATCATTCAATCAGATTTTAATGGAAATTTTCTATGTCTCAAACACCTTAATAGTCAATGGAAAAACCCCAGGTGTTACACAATCATTCCATATAAGGAAATATACAATGTCAAAATAAAAATGACTCGACCTAAGTAGGTCACATCCCCTCCCTTTTTGGAAGTGACAGATAGGTTCCACAAAAACATACATAAGGAACCAATCTGGCAATGAAATAACAAAAATGTTTTACAAATGTAGGCAATCAAAATCATAATACCAGATGAAAATATCCCTGAACCTAAAAGGGAAGTAACTCCAACTTTTACAATTGGTGAAAGGGGAGTAACCCTTCAAAAGGTAATTGTACATCAAAATCCCTCAAAAAAGGGTATTACAATATTTCCATGTGGATATTAAAAGTGGTAAACCCGCCAGGGTAAGACCTTTATTTCAATGACTAGCTACAATATCAATTGAGTCATATGAGACATATTATTATAAAAGATTACATATAATCAAAAACTACCTTTAATTAAGGTTCACCTGAAAATAAACAAAATATTCAACAGGATTGGAATTTTGAAAAAAAATTCAAAACTCACACCACTCATTTTCATATGAGTGACACTCAAACAAAACCTGTTTATGGTCCTAATGAACCACAAAGCATGTCACATGATCAATGTGTACAACAAGATTTTACATCCTTGACAAACAATCAGCCACAACATTATCACTACCCTTAATGTGTGAAATTTCCAGATTAAAATTTTGGAAGTATAAGCACCATCTCAATATTCTTTGATTTGTCTGTCCTAACTTAGAGGTAAATTTCAGGGGATCATGGTCAGAAAACACTCTGACTGGATTGGTTGAAGAAGAGACATAGACTTCAAAATGTTGTAATGATAAAACCAAAGCTAAAGCCTCTTTTTCAATAGTAGAGTAATTCTTTTGGTTTTCATTTAACTTCCTGGAAAAAAAGGCAATGGGATGATCAATTCCCATGTTGTCTTCTTGAAATAGGACTGAGCCAATGGCTAAGTTGCTAGCATCAATGGCAAGTTTAAAGGGCTTGCTGAAATTTGGTGCAGCCATAACAGGAGCATTTGATAGAAATGACTTAATGGTTAAAAAAGCTTCTTGACATTTATCTGACCATTCAAACTTAACACCTTTTTTCAATAATGCAGTAAGAGGTTCAGCAATAGCTGAAAAGTTTTGACAGAACCGTCTATAGTAACCAGCCATCCCAAGGAACTTTTTGATCTCTTTACAATTTTTGGGAGGTGGTAACCTTACAATAGCATCTACTTTAGCTTCAATGGGCCGAACTTGGTTCGTTCCCACTTGATAACCCAAATAGGTAATTGAAGCTTTACAGAAATCACTTTTATGTAAGTTTATAGTAAAATTAACTTCAGACAATTTTCTAAAAAGGTTAGTCAATTGAACAATATGTTCTTCAAAAGTATTAGAAAATACAACTATATCATCTATGTAGGCCTCACATTGGTCTATGTCAGCAATGACAGAGATAATGACCCTCTGGAAAGTTTGACCAGCATTTCGCATACCAAAGGGCATACGTTTGTATCTATAAAAACCATTAGGGGATACAAAAGCAGATATTTCTTTTGCACGGTCAGATAAGGGGATTTGCCAGTATCCTGAAAGTAAATCAATTTTGGAAATTATCTTAGCCTGACCAACTTTATCAATAACGTCCTCTATCCTAGGTAAGGGATAGGAATCAGCTTTGGTGAGCGCATTCACCTTCCTAAAGTCGGTCACAAACCTGAAAGATCCACCGTCTTTCGGGACTAGGAGACATGGGGAACTCCAGTTGCTGAAACTGGGCTCAATGATATCATTCTTGAGCATATAATCAATTTCATCTTTTATCAAAGCAGCTTTTTCCGGGTTAACTCTATAGGGGTGTTGTTTAATGGGTTTTGCGTCACCAACGTCTACATCATGAGGTGGAACCTTCGCTTCTTTGGGGACATCCCCAAAAATAGAGGGAAATGTCTCAAATAACTGAGACAACCTATGGCTTTCCTCTGTGGACAAATGCATAAGGTGGACATTCAAATTATCTAAAAAGGAAGAATTTACCAATTTTGGGGGTTTCAATTTATCATGTATCACATCATCAGAAACATTTGAACATACAGGTAAAGTAGTTTTAGCTGTGGATTGAAAATTGTTACAATTATCATAATACTTTTTCAGTGAGTTGACATGATACACTGTCTGTTTCTTTCTTCTGTCGGGCGTATTGACAACATAGTTCAAATCACTTAATTTTGAATGCACAGTAAAGGGTCCACAATATCTCAAGGATAACGCATTGTTCAGATTAGGTACTAGCACAAGAACTTTGTCGCCTGGATTGAATGTTCGTTTACAAGAACTCTTATCATACAGTTCTTTCATTCTAACTTGGGCCTTTCTTAAGTTCTTGTGAGCCATTTCGCACACGGCTTTCAGTCGAACGTGAAAATCGTCGAAGTTTTCCACTGGATGATCACTGGTACCTGTCCAACGTTCGTGTATCAGCTTCAGGGGGCCACGGACAGAATGTCCAAACACAAGTTGAAAAGGCGAGTAGCCTAAAGAGTCCTGGACACAGTCCCTCGCGGCGAAAATAATCCAAGGAACAGACTCATCCCATTGGGTGTTACTGTTAGCGAATGTCCTTAGCATGGTTTTGAGGGTTTGGTGGAACCTCTCAAGTACGCCTTGAGACTGAGGGTGGTAGGCTGAGCTGGTGATGTGGGTAACGCCTAGCTTGGCTAGCGCTTCCTGAAAATGGTGACTGGTGAAGTTGCTGCCTTGATCTGTTTGCACGATTCTAGGTAATCCAAAGGTAGTGAAGAACCGGGTCATGGCTCTGACTACAGTCTTTGCCTTAATGTTCCGTAAGGGAATCGCCTCGGGAAAACGGGTACTTGAACACATAAAGGTAAGTAGGTACTCGTTGCCCGCCTTGGTTTTAGGCAAGGGACCTACACAGTCCATGACGATTTTTGAAAAAGGTTCTTCTAATACAGGAATCGGACTCAGAGGGGCCTTAGGAATTGTCTGGTTTGGCTTTCCGGCCAACTGACAGTTCGTGCAACTTCTACAGTAACGCGACACATCTTTTCTCATTTTGGGCCAAAAGAACAGTTCTTTGATCTTCGCCGTCGTTTTCGTGACACCTGGGTGCGCTGACATTGGATGGTCATGTGCTAGTTTAAGTATTTCATGCCGATAAGGTGGAGGAACCTACAGCTGGTTTTTACCCAACCATGGTTCGGCTGGTGAGGCATTCACTGGTATAGCGCGACGAAAGAAGAGGCCGTTCTCGGAGAAATATTCTCCATCGTCAGATGATAGAGATTTTTCGACCGTTGCTTTGAGTTCCGCGTCGACTTGCTGAGCTTTAATGATGTCTTCCTGAGATATCCTCAGGGGTAAGCCCAGGCTTGTTTTTTCTGGAAGCATAGACTCCAGTTTGGGAATCGAATTTCTTGACGATGATGGTAGATGTGGTTCAGACGTTGTGTCAGCCAATTGTTTGGTCTGGCTTCTTGTCACCGCACATGCAGGATACAGTTCATTATCATTATCTGGAACTGTTGACAAAGGGTCTGAAACCGTACAGGGGTATACTTTGCTTCCCGCAAGGTCATTCCCTAGAAGTAGGTGTACTCCTGGGACAGGAATACTATCTATCACACCTAAAATGACCTCACCTTCGACGAGATGATGTTTCAGGGCGAACTTGTGTAGAGGGACGACAGTAGATTTTGTCCCCACTCCCTGGATAATGGAAATCCTTCCGGTGTTCGTCTCTGGTGTAATGTCCATTGAACTTTTCAAAAGGAGAGATTGTGACGCTCCTGTGTCTCTTAGAACGGTGATATTCTTCTGAGACAACGGATCACCTGGTTTGCTAATGATGGCTTCGGCAATAAAAGATGAAAAGTCAACTTTTCTCGATCCCTCGAGATCGGTAGACTCGGAAGAAACTGGATGGTGGCGAGAACAGTCAAAATGTGACTGCACATAATGTGTGGAGACTTGACTACCTTCTTGCGGACACTTAGGGTTAGAGTCCTTTTGAATTCTAGAGTTCATAGTTGAACTGGCTGCTTGAGGGGATAGAGCATAGTGCGCGGAAGTACGCACCACCTCTCTGTTATATTGACGACGTTTGTAACAGTCCTTGACAAGATGACCAGGCCTTTTGCAGAACTGGCATACTGCTCGACGATTGAGAGTTGATCTTGGTTTCTCTCTGGACTGTGATGCCTTCAAATGTTGGCCAACAGGATGATTGCTGCCAAAAAGGGGAAGCACGGGGTTGAGGCGGTTTCCTGACACTGGTGGTTTCTTATGCACCAACATATATGTGTCAGCCGACTCAGCAGCCTTCTGGATGTCAGTTATCTTGTTATCCAGAATGTGTAGTCGTATCTCTTCAGGCAGGGACGATAGGAATTCTTCCCTTAGGATAAGAGACCTGAGTTTCTCAAACTCAGAAACTTCCTCAGAGTGTAGCCACCTTGAGAGTATTTTCTCCTTTTCAAAGAGAAATTCCACATATGATTGTGTGGGTAACTTGCGGAGTGTTCGGAATTTTGTCCGATAGGCCTCGGGCGTCAGTGCGTAGGCCTTTAAAATGGCAGTCTTGACCAAACTATAGTTATTTTGAACGTCGTGAGAGAGTGCCTGGTATGTTTTTGCAGCTTTCCCAGTAAGGACAGAACTCAATAAAGCAGTAATGGAAGTTTCGGGCCATTCACATGTCTTCGCTAAACTCTCAAATGAGTTAAAGAAAACGACCAAATCTGTTTCATCAAATTTCGGAACTAATTTCCCAAATTTGGCAATCA